TACATCCCTGACGCAAACCACGAAATCTACGTAAATACCATGGAATTCGTGCCTTCCGATGTATGCAGCAACAACTCAACCACTTAATGTCCGGAGAACCTCGGGGATTGCGCGTTAGGGTTTAGGTTTGTTTTTTGCACACCCACCAACCCAGGTGAAGGAAAGGATGAAGGCCTTCCGAAATTTGGTCAACGATGCCAAAAAGGCCTTTGCCAAGAAGGACCAGCTGGCCAAGAAGAAGGCAAAGAACAAGTCCCTCGCCCCTGCCACATCTGCCACCAGCACCTCGCAGGCCGGGGCATCAGCTGACACAGCAATCAGCCCGGAGATGCTGGACTGTGTCTGCTGGATGCGGCACGAGCTGTTGAAGGCAAACTGGTCGAAGTTTCGGCGAGGCAGCAACGGGGTGTGGTTCAATCTGCAGGAGGATTTGCTGGAGCAGATGCCGGGCAAGGGCCCGGTGCTGATCCCTGCCGAGCAAGTCACAGGCCTGCTCAAGAGTGTTCACGACCTGGTTTACTACCAGTCCCAGAAGCAGTGGTTAGGAGAGAAGATGAAGACAGATGGCAGAGGTGTAACCACTGCGGTGATCGGACGAGAAGCAGTTGCGAAGCAAGTTTTCGGCTTCATCAGCAAGAGCTTGCCGGTGGCAGTCGCTGACCGCCTTGGCCTTCCGGGGGATGAAGAGCTGCTCGACCTGTGGAGGCCCATGTTCTGCCAGTGCATGGGCGGCCGTGTGGACACCAGCACGGCCTTCAGCCTGCCAGAGCTGACGGTGCATCTCGAGGGGACGAGCGTTTTCTTCGCCGGCTACCGTGCCACCCAGGACACACAGCTCAGGGACCTCAAAGACCTCACGTCGGCAGAGTTCCTGGACCGCTGCGAGTGGTTTGCAAACTTGTCCGCCGGCCAGGGCATCGTCCTGCCGCCAGGGATGGTCTACATCATGATCAACACGGAGCATGACATCGAGAAGGAGGGCAGCCCTGAAGGGCAGCCCGCCCACATGCTGAAGATGTTCGTGCTGACGAACAGCACCGCGAAGTATGCATCCAAAAACCTCTCAAAGCTGGTTTCCGAGCACCCGGATCTCGGTGGCAAGAGAACAGGAAAGCTGCTTGCCCACTTCATGAACGTGGTGGCGGACTAATGGGCAAGAGACCCATTGGGGCCCATTGGGTTGGAGGTGTTGTTTTCTCCCAGGGGTTCGTTGCCAGGCCCAGGTCTGGCAACGGACGACAAAGCTCGGCGTGAACACAATCGTTGGATTGTGTTGCAGGGCCGGGCATTTTCACCGTGAGCCGAAAGCTGTAGATCGGGATTACGGCTTAAAGCCTAGAGTCTAGAGGCTTGTCATGGTAAACAAGTGTTATTGAGCAACACAACAAGCACACATACACACAGACAGTTCGCAGACACAACATGATGTCACTACCAGGCTTGCGGCGAGCCATGATCCTTTCAAGCCGGGTGCTTTTTTCTTCACTTGTCGGGGACGAACTGCCGTGGCATCAGATGAATGAGAAGATCGCCGTCTAAAAAGTTCGGTTCCACAGGGGGTCAATTGAAAAGCTAAGCGATTGTTCATTCCAGGGCGAGGTTTTGGCCCACCAGGTTTCGGCTCAAACTCCTGCTTTCTCAAATTTGAAGACTAGATGAAAAGTGTCTGCTGAGTCTGAGGGCGCAGCCACACAAGGAGATGCTGAGAGCACCCTTGTGACAAACGACTGCGTAGTTTGCCAGTGCCATTCTGGGAGGGTGAAACCCTGACAGCCCAGGCCACCTCCCTCCTGAGGCGGCTATAGGCCTCCGTCAAGGCAGAGGTGCTGGCCTTCCAGCCACACTGTGGCGGTTATTATGCAAAGTCAATGACTTGGCGTAGTAGCCGCCACCATGGCAGCTGTAGTAACCTCCGTTAAGGTGCAAGCTCCGATTTCAGTCCATTTACCAGACGATGATCTGGCAAATGGACTGATCCCCGAGCCTCGATCAGCCATGATCGCATGCCGGCTGTCAAGACTGCATGCTGCCTCATGTGTTCGATTGCGAGGATGCCCAGACGGCCAACATGGTAGGCTTAGCATATGCAACTGTTCTCCGGCAGTGACATCAGATGAACTCGATGGCCTGAAAAGTTAGCTTCCATGGAGATGTTCAGTTGCGCTTTGAGGGTCACAAGCACTTCAAGCTTGTCTGTCAATCGAATGTAACCTGTCGCACACAGCCTTTGCTTTGTGATTTCTTTTTGACCCACGAGGTTTTGGCTCAAACTCCTCTGTCACAGCTGATGTCTAAGATGAAGAGAAGCCTCGTAGTTGATGAGGAGACTTGGGACTCTGTCACGAGAGATCTCGAGAGCCGTGAAGCTGCGAGCTTTTCGACTCCTGAGAGACCGGAGCAAAAGCTCAAGGTGAGCCGTGAAGCTGCGAGATTTTCGGCTCCTGAGACTCCGGAGCAAAAGCTCAAGGCGAGCCGTGAAGCTGCGACCTTTTCGTCTCTTGAGACGCCGGAGCAAAAGCTCAAGGCGGAACTGGAGAGTACGAAATTTCGGGTGCAGCTGCAAAAGGATCTGAACGCTGCCATGCGGTCTAATCTGAATCAGCTGCTTGACGAGCGAAAGGCGCGAGAAGAGTACATCTGGGCCCTAAGGGCACGGATTGACCAACTCTCAAAGGTTGCCAATGATGCTGTCGGAGGGCTGAACGAAGACTTGGGTGAACTGCTCGGCGTCGTGCAAAAGACATCAGAGTGCGAGGAAACTTGTGCCATGGATGTCATGGATGTAGCGGTGCCTGTTGTAGAGGTGCCTGCGTCAAGTCCAGAAGAGTTCCCCGAGACCCAGGTCATCCCTTTCCAAGGGATGGCCCCTCCGGTGTTGCCTCCTGCGTTCGATTGCGGTCAAGATGCCCAACCGACTGACACTCTGGATAGCATCGTGATGGCTCGCTGGAACAATTATGCATAAGGCATAAGTTTGTGCACAAACACAGAGCTCGTGGGGTGACCGAGTGAAAAAGGTGCATCACGTGTTTGTGCGTGTGTGTGTCGTGTTTTGTTTAGGCGTCTAGGGGTTCGGGCTTTGGGGTTGTGCTCTGATGTGTGTGTGTGTGTGGATTTCAGTGGGAATGCTTACGTAAAACAATGGCCAGAACACATTTCCCCAATTTGTTTTTTTTTTATGGCTCCGAAAACGAACCCCCCAGTCGTTTTGACGACAAACTTGAAAGTCGTCTCATTTTATCCAAACCCCTCACTGGTTTAGCTCGAACCCTCAGGGGGGTTACCCCCCCACGGCTGTAGATGAGAACTTCATAACCGAGTCTACCTCTGTGCAATTTCATTGCAGGATCCCTCGTTCCGAGCTGTTGCCCCTTCTTCGCCTCTCCGGCCATGCGCAGGTGTGTGACACCGAAAACCGGGCAGAATGAGGTGCTTCCTGGCTTTGCAGCGATTTGGGCGCCAGGTGACAAGGTCACTGGCGTTGACTTGAGCCTTATAAGATGCCTGAGCCGCTGGGGCTGGCCCACGTCAAGAACCGATTGGGTGTTAGGGTCACGGAGGCTAATTATACAAGGAGGCGTGGGCCGTGGTTCGCCCTGACCAGGAGATCCCGCCCAAGGTCACTGTCACAGGCTTGTTCAAGTTGTTGTCTGCCCCGCCGCAGCTTCGCGCCTCCGACATCCAAGCCTGGGCTCATCAGATGCAGTGGCAGGTCCGACCGCTGAGGTGCCGTGGTGCAGGTCGTTGGCTGCTTGGGGCCAACGGGCCTCCCTTCACCGGTCTTCTCAGCATGAATCAGCAGGCTGTTCTCGTGCAACCAGTCGAGGCAAGGCAGGATCCAGGCCGATCTTGCGTGCGGGCCGCATGACCAAAGCCACCGCTGCTGCCTCTGCTTTGCCTGATGAGGACCACCTTGTTGCCAATGATCCGTGGAAAAAACTACCTGTGAGCCAGCAATCGGGCCCAGGAGCTGCTGCCACATCTGCCCCGCAGCAAGCCGCCCCGTCTCGTTTCCCAGCTCCGCCCAACCAACAGCGTTTTGATCAACAAGCTGGGCTTGAGGAGGGTCCGCCGTGGCCACCGCGCGATGTCCCAGCAGCTCGCGCACACTCCTCGCTTCAATCCGCGCGCAGCTTCAAACCAACGCCGATGAGCAACGACTGGCTCAGGCTGCGCATGAACAGCAGTATCAGCGAGGTTTCGATGAGGTCAAGGCCCTTTTGGCCGGCTCTCTCCAACGTGGCGAGCGTCCAGCTGAGAGTGCGGGCGCGCGCAACATGGACCTAGATCCTTCACTTTGACTTCGGGCAGCGGTGCTGCCAGAGACTTGTGTGCAAGCGTCTGCCTGCACCAGGCCACTGAGAGTTCGTTTTGGGGTTGGCACCCATCGGATGCCGGGGGCTTTTCTTCAGATTTCTCGCGGTACTCCTTTTGCTCTTCACTGGACTGTGGGCTTTCGCTTTGGGGAAGCCCTGCATCCTGGGCCGGCAGCTCGGCCGGTGGATCCTTCAGTGATCACGTTTGCCGTGATAAATAAATCCGGCCACCGTTCTAGATAAAGAATGGCGTGTGAGTCAAGTCAAAGCCGATGTGCTTTGTGCAAGCGAGACCGCGGCAAATGCCAGGGTTCAAGAGATAAGGACGTTCAAGTTCCGGGGTTCGGGTTACCGTTGCGTGTGGGGGCATCCCACTGAGACCAGGTTCCATGCAGGTTCAGGCCGGGCAATGCTTCGTAGCTATGCAAGTGGGGTTGCCACCTGGTCCAAGTTGCCGTGTCGCCCGGCTTTGCAGAGCCTCCCGCCGGCGATGCTGGATAGTTGCCGGCTTTGTGAATGTTTCGTGCGCCTTCACGGCTTTGAAATCAAGGTGATATCGGTGTACGGTGTTCCGCGATGTCTTCCTGAAGCCGCAGAAAAGAACAACTTGTTGTTGGCTTGGGCCTTCCAACGGACCACAGTTTCTTCAGTTCCAGCCTTGCTGGCAGGAGACTTCAATACGGAGCCCACGGCGCTCCCACGGTTGGGTTGAGTTGGGTGCCTTCGCCTCCTTGGCCTTCGATGTGCATCTTCCCCGTACTTGCAAAGGCGCCGCCCCCTTTGACACTTTTCTTCTCCCGCCCAGCCTTTATCAATAATTACTCCCATTCCGTTGAAGTGTTGGGGCATGAGCACCTCTTTGACAGTCATGCGCCAGTGTTGCTGCGCTTGCAGTTGCCGAGCCGCGGCACGCCGAGATGGATTTGGCCCCTCCCCAAGCCGTTTGCTGGGTTTCTGGAGGCGTCTTCTGATTTGCTTGGGGCGTATGTGCGGACCTCTCATGCGGTGCGGCGTGCCCTCGCCCCGGAGGTTACGGAGGTTCAGCCAGGTGACAAACTTCGGCTTTGGTCCGCCGCTGTGGAGTCTGCAGATTCAGATGTGTTGCATGCGCAGCGCAAGTCTTGCCCAGTGCTGCATCCCTTGAAGGGTCTTCCTCGGTGCTACAGAGGCCGGTGCCAGCCGACAGAACGTAAACAGGCAGCGCCTGCTAAAAGCTGCTCGCTGTGGCGACCCCGAGGCCTTTGATGAGGATACGTCTGTTCTGGGCCGGCAGCGTTTGAGACAGTGGCGTAGGCTGCAAACATTTGAGCAAGGCCTGCGTAAGTTCCTGGGCGGCCGCTTCCGGGGTCCCCTTGATTCTTCGGGCTGGCCTGTTTCTCTGGCTTTCGAGTGGAGGGCTATTCAAAAGGCGCCGGGCTACCGCGGCTCTTTCTCTGCTTCGGTCCTGTTGCAACGCATGCAATTTAGAACAGAGGGCGCACCTACTGTACGCTGGTATGCCCTAAAGGCCCCAATCTAGAACAGATTCATCGTTCTTGCCCCAAGAAGCGATTCAAGCTGAGGT